GGCAGTTGCTAAATATTTACCAGCCTACCATTGGCTAGATTTTCTGATCTAAAGGCTCCTGGATTCTAGAAAACCTAGCTAGTTGCACTCTTGGTTCTGACAGCATCGGCATCTTGAGGTTTTATAGGGCACTGAAGAGCTCTTTCTTATAGTTGCTTCATTTCAGACTCACGAGGACCCAGTGAAGCAGCCAGAAGCACTCACAAAGGGGCAAAGTGAGGTGGAGAGTGAGAAAGTGGTCTGCCCAGTGTTACCCAGCAAATGGGTGACAGGGCAGCAATTAGAACCACTGGCTTTCAGTCCACATTTTCACAGCACCCAGTATGCTTCCTCCATAGTGCAATTCCCAGTTTGTAGCTATTATTTATTTGTGTACATAGTTGATAAAATCTGTCTCCCTCATGAGATTATGAGTTCCACAAAGACAGGGACCTCATGTTTATCTGTGTACCAATGTCTCTCCTGTGACTAACATACTATCTGCCACATAGAAAGCACTCAATAAATATTTACTGAGAGAATGAGTAAGTTAACCAAAGCAGGAATGTGCACGGTTCTCTTCCTACAATAGCGCGCTGCCAAATATCTGACTTCACAGAAACAACAAAAATGATGACAAAACAAAAACAGCAGCATTGCCTTGCCTGGAGATTGCTTTTCAGGTTTCCACTGCTACCTATAGCCAGCACATGACCCTGAAGCACATGGTTTGACAGAAATGTCCACAAGCTGAGAGATTACTTCAGGGCCACTAATCCGATAATGGCTGGAGCATGACACAGGGATAGAGAATGCCTTCCAGTCAATCTGACAGAGTGAACTGACTTGGAAGGAATCTTCCCCAAAGCTCCAAACACATGAAACTGGACTTCTTACAAAAAAAATGAAGATTTGAGCCACACTCAAAAGCAAAGAGAAATGCCCAAGTGCTTTAAATAAAAAGGAATTCAAGTCTGGGAGCTGAGTGGAAGCTGAGACCAAAATGGCTCACAGGCCCGTACAATGCAGATATGGCTTTGATGTCTGGAACTGGATTGTAGGATGTTTGGAAGAACATTGTACTTTTGGGTAAAGTAACCTGTGTGATGAGAATCAAGGGTCTTAGAGGGAGGCTGTTGGAAAATGAAGTTGAGAATGAAGTAGGGGTCTGTGGAGAGGGTTAGGAGTGAGGACTTTATTCTCTAGGTCAGTGTTTACTGAACTGTGTGCTGCAAAACTACACTGTTGTGAGATGTTTACAGGTGTTGAGGTTAAAAAAAGTTCTCAGTTAGATACGTCAGACAGTGGCTAAACAAAGGAACCAGGTTAAGAAACTGCAGGACTTATCAGAACTTTTATATGTTAACAAACTTTGTAATCTCTAGAGAGGAGTTGGGAGTGTGTATGTATGTATATGAAGTGTTCCCCAGGCTCTTTTGGTCCAAGGACCTCTTTACTGCAGAATGTCTCCTGTCCCTAGTATCCCAGAAGCACGTTATGAAGAACAGTCTTGAGGTCGCCTTTCTTTGGTTGTCCAAACACTCCACAATGTACTGCATCTGTTGATTTTCCTTTTGACAGTTTGTTTCATTAACTGATTCATAATTTTTTATTGCGAGGCCACCTTCAGTTATAACCACGGGAGTCTGGGTTGCTCTGGGCTGTGGAAGTGCCCCTATAGGGCATGTTTACTGGTTTAGAAATAGGGGGTATTTTTGGTATTATTTTTCATCTTGAGTATCCCTTTTTCCACCAGATAATGTTAGTTCAAATCCCACATCTGTATGTGGCTTGAGCCTGGGATTCTGATTTCTTGAAGATGAAATTTCTTACCTCCAAGGCCACAGGAGATGGCCCTTCCCATAGCAGATGGATGGAAATCCAGTTCCAGTGTTACAGCTGGGGCAAACTGCCTGGGCCCAGCGATTATCACCAATAACACTAAAATACCACATTTCCTCTATTTTAAGATACACAGTTTCTTCACATTTTAATATCTGAAATTTGGCTGTATTTTATAATATATGTTGAAAGAAATCTGTCTGCTGTAGACAAAGAGGAAAGTCATGGTACAGCTAATATTGCTGTTCAAGTGTGGATTTCGCTGAATACTGGTTATTTGATTAATGACTCAGCTGGGTTTTGCACAAATGTTAACATTAAATGCAGTTGAATTTTAGCTTAAATTAAGATCCCTGATATTACTTCAAATGCACTCGAATAGGTTCCCTGTAATGCAATATTGAAAGAAAAAGCTACTGTGCATGCCAGAGATTGCCTATTGTATGTAATATAATGAAAGGGAGTAGAAATCACCAAATCTCCTGGAACAGATGACAGAGTTTTCAAAGCCTAAAAGGCTAGCATCCAAATGATGAACATCTAATTGTTAAAGGCTTCCAGTCATTTAACTTCCAGCAACATGTGCTCAATTCAGGAGAAATAAAACTATGGGTTTACCAAAGAGAAAATGCAAGCCAAATCCCATTATACTTTCATAAGCCTCAAAATTATACTGCCAGCCTTAAAGGTATCAATGGAATAAAGATCAGAGTAACCTACTTTCTGAAAAGCAGCACATAACTCTCGAGTTACACAAAACTTCAGAGAACCCAGTAATGATACACAACATCATTAATATGAACAATTCCTACTCTCCAAACTCGGATTCTACAGAATGAGAAACTCATATGTAAGCATATGAATCAGTAAGAGCTGCTACTGACAATTTTTAAGTATGTCGATTGGATGTCATGCTTCTTTGTTTCTGGAAATATGCAATTAACTTCATGGCTTATTTTACCATTCTCAATGGTGCCTCAAAATTATGGTAATCACAATGACAAATGCCACTTTTTGAGCACCTGCCAAACACTGTATTTGCTATTTTATACCCATTATGTCTAATCCTCATGACAACTTTATAAGGGAGGTACTCTTATAGTCCCATTTTACATGTAAGGAGACTAAGGTTCAAAGAGACCAGTGACTTCTCAAGGTCAAAACCAGTGAGCATCAAGCCGAGCACGGAACCAGTTGCCTTTCCCTGCTAGCAACCCTGCTCCACCCCTGCCCTGGCACAGCAAGCAGATAAGTCCTCACCTGAAAAAAATTTACTATGATCCCAGGGCAGGAGGAGCCAGCTTGAATTCAAAGTAGCAGGGTCACCCCTCTCAGCCCAAACAACCCCCAAGTTGATCCAAATCCTGCTGTTTTATGACTGCTTCCATTTTTTTCAAACTACGCTTGAGAACATGCTCAAGCAGGCCACAAACTGACCAACTGCCCCAACATTCACATAGCCAATCAATTAAGTAGTTCATTCCTTTGAATTATGACAATTTGGTAGCACAATCCAGAGAAGACATTAAACAGGCAAGAAGAGAGGGAGTCAACTCTGTAGCTGAGGCCTGGGCAAGAAGGAGCCTTTGGCCTAGCAGGAGGCATTCTTTTTCTCCAAAGGTGCTATTTCACACCAGTTAATGGAAGCAGAGGGCTCCTTGAACCTAAGGAAGAGTCTAGATTGCTGTGCCAGCCACCTTCTCTGAAGTCCTGAACTCCTTTTCTTCTTGATCAAACTTCTGCAAGATGACAGGCAGGAGCTTGTGGACTTCACCCCATTCTCTGGACATATGCTTTTGGACTCAGTCTAATCTCCAATGTAAAATCCTTTTCGGGGGCTTTTCCTGAAATATTTCCTCAGGAAAGGACCTCAAGTTTGGACACTAAGAGTGAACTAGGACAATTCGAGAAACATGTATTGCATATCTCTGAGGATACAGAGATGAATAAAATGTGACCCCTACCATAAAAAAACTCACAGTTGAGGGAAGGAGGAAAGACTAGATCAGAACTAAGTACAATGAAAAGCAGAACAAGGTGAATGTTATCTTGGAACATAGAATAGAAAGGACTTAATTCCAGATACAAGATCAGTAATCAACTCAGCTAACACTGATGGGACACCTACTAGGTACCAGATATGATACCTGGCATTTTACAAACCTTATCCCATTTCTACACCCACCCTATGGAATACATTTTATTGGTATCTTCACTTTATAAATGAGGAAACTGATATAGAAACAACATATTTTACCCAAAGGTAACACAAGTAATTTGTAAATACTAGAGATGAGATTTGAACCCAGCTGGCCAACACTAAAGCTTATGTTCCTTTCAGTGCAAAAGATTACATCTCCTGGAATAAAGAAATTCTTCCTGGTAATAGCAGAATCTGAACTGGTTTGAAATTTAACCAGGTGAAGATGGATGGGGAGAATACTTTAATCAGAGGGTCAGTGAGGGACAAGGCCTGGAAGTAGGAAAGATGAGCAGTCACAGGTGAGCTAGAGCAGTGGGCAGAAGTCAAGCTTCCAGCACAAAGGAAGTGTGTGGTCAATGAATTAGGGGATGGGGTGTCAAGAGCCCTGGGTTCTAGTCCTTGCATGGCCACTGACTAACTGTGTGACCTTCAGCAGTTCCTATCCGCTATCTGGGTTTCAGTTTCATCATCAGAGAGAATTCCAAACCCCTATTGGAATAAATATTCCCAAAAGGTCTGCTCTGGTATAAATGCTCAATGATACTCCCAAGAGGCCATGTGGAACAGTGATTAAGACCAGGTGACAGGTAGATGCTAGCTCTGCAGTGACCTTGGATAAGCTAATTAATTCCAGAGTCTCACTCTTCCTCATCTGTAATGTGGGGACAACAGCAAAGCCTGCTTCACAGGGCTGTGATGAAGGATGAGTGGAAAGAAGAACATAAAGCGCTTAGCAAAGTGCTTGGCAAACTGTAAATGTTCGGCTAATGAAGGCAGCTTTGTCACCACCATCACCACCACCACTATTTCTTCTTCAAAGAGTACAGAAAGTGACATTAGTGGTCAATGATCAGAAGGTCTTTTTTTAAAAAGAGACAAAAAATAAACCCTCAGAAAAGGTCTCACTAAACCATAAGTCCCTCCCATGACTACCTCACACATGAGACTCCTATTTCACCCAGGGGCCACATCATACCTTCTCTTCTGAAGAAACAGTCAGCTTGTCACTGGATATCAAGCTGCACACCTGGTCCAGACTTAGGCTAAGAAATTCTTCCCCCAGCATCACCTCTGGAAAGTGCTGCTCTGTTCCAAAAAAAAAAAAAAAAAGAAGAAGAAGAAAAAGAAGAGAAGAAGAAGAAAGATAGCAGAAGTTCAAAAAACAAAGTTATAAAATGCTCCTGCCCTTCCATGAACCAAGGCCATGACAATATGTAGGATTCAGAGTGGAGTCCTAGGGCCTCTGAGGGGAGGGTGGAAGCAGAGGGTGAGACAGAGAGGCAGAGAGAAACACAGCACATCCTGGCTGGAGGGAAACTAGCCTTTTAACTCAGCAGCAAAAGCGTCCCCCTGTGTGATCCTCTGTCCAGAACACCGACAGAGATGAAAATGGGGCAGAGAGATATGAGGCTATATTTTTTCCATGCTCCATGAGATTAATCCTGGTGTTGCGAAAAGCCTCACTGGGACCTGCCTACTTAACTGAGCTCATTTCCCCTCAAGGCTCATGCTGGCAGAGTTGCAGACAGTGCCCCCTGCAGCTCAGCCAAACAAAAGTGGGTCAGAACTGCTGTGTGGCTGGAAGTCTCGGGGGTTCTGGTACAAAGTCAACATTAGAAGGCTAGCTGGAGGAGTCATCCTTTGCTGCCCAAAGTCAAGTCTATTATAGTGAGCCTCTGGTTCACAGGGAGGCCCAACTAAGAATCCATTCCAGGGTGGTAGCAACACAGTTGGTCCCACTGCCATTGGGAACAATCCAAAATCCAGGACAGCCAGTCGGTGGAGGCCATTAAAATGGAGGGAAATTTGGGGACACCTAGAACAAGTCAGGCCTAAGGTCCACACAAAGGAAATGCCAAATGCAACTCCTACCCTGACACTTGCTGGGCCACCATTCTATTACAGAGACGGTGAAATGTCAGTGAAAGAGCATGTATTTCAGAAAGAAGGAAGCTGGACTCAAATCCTGGCCTTGCCATTTACAAACTATTTTCTTGAGCCAATGGCATCACCTCCCTGGGCCTCACTATCCTCATCTGTGAAATGGGGATAAGACCACTTGTCTTGCCTCCCTCCCATGCTCTGGTGGGAAAGGAACTATGAAAGTGGTTTTGCAATCTATGACAAGGTGAACCAGCCTAAGGGTTGACAGTTTCTGGTGCAGCAGGTCCTGGAGGTGGCAGAATCCTTTGTCATTTGGCTCAGTCTTTGCTCCTTTTTCAGTTCTCTCACCACCCTGCACCATCACCTTAAGGAGCATCTATGCCCCTTGACCTCCAGGCTTCCCTATTTCCTTCTTTGGTGGTCTCTTTCTGGCCTGATAGCCTCTGGAGGGCTACACCTCCCAGTTCCCACTCAGGGCTACCCACACTTGGTCTGGCCAGCCCCTCAAGTCAGATTCAGAGACCCTCCACCCTTGAGAGATGCTGAAATATCAAGACTGCTGTAGCTGCATAATGAAAAGGAACATCAGACCATGTTAAGGCCCTTTCTCACATTCATTGGCCTCTTAAAAACCAAATATTTAAATCATTTCTTGCAAAAATCTTCTAAATTTTATGTTGGAAATAATTCAGACCCAAAGAACTCCCATATAGCCTTTCTTCGGATTCCCTACATCTTAATATTGTACTCTCAAAGATCAGGTTATAAACAACCTTTTCCATCTTTCACTGGACAAAAGGGTTCCCCACTTGCTCCCCACCAGCCTAATGATATCACTGAGCCCACAGTTAAAGCTTGTCCATCCTGAGGTTTAAAAGTCAGATCCTTTATGAAGGGAAGCAACTGTCATAAAGGAAGAAGCTGGTCTTGCTTCTCTATATGTCAACAGGAAAAGGCCTTTAGTGTAAAGCTTAGATTTTAGGTGAGACATGCAAAAGACCTCCCTAACTATGGGAACTTTTAAGACTACAGAGTATTACTTTTAAAGTGCCCATTCCTAAAGATTTTAAAATAAAAGCAAATGAACAATCTTCTTTGGATGATAGGAATCCATTCTTGGCCTGGAGGCTTGGAAAGGTACAAGATTCTCCCCACATGCCTTTCTGGTCCAAGTCTTTAACTAGAGTCCTTCATTTGTCAACAACACCCAAGAAATAGCAAAGAGAAAAGGCCCTCAGCACACCACAGCAAAGTGCAGGGCATCAAGGCTCAGCTCAGCAGGAGTGTCAGGTGAACCAGCACCAATACCTCTGTGGCCCAGAGCCGTACCCAACCTCTCCACCATTATCTTTGGTTGACCCAAAACCTAACATTTGGAAGAGAGAAGAGGGAAGAGAACAGGAGGTGAGAGTAAAATTCTGGGTTGTGAAAAATTCTTCCTTACAACTCATAAAGCTGAAAGTAGATGGGCTGGATTTTGAAAAGAAAAAAAAGTGGAAGTGCAGTGATGCATAGTCCAGGTGGCATAGTGAACAAACCAAAAATTCTCAAAGATAAGTCAAGGCAGAAAGCAGTCAGCCCCCACACCTTCCCATCTCTCGCCCTCAGACACTGCAGGATTTGAATCCAGGTCCCTCTTTCTGACTCAGGCTGCTGCTTTGCCCATCTGGACCCTTCCACTGAAAACCCTACAGAAAGCCTCCCAGGAAGCAGTTTTCAGTGGGTAGGGGAAACAGGGGAGTTAATGAGCAGCAGCTGCTGGCTCCCAGAACCCAAGAGATTTGTAGGGCATGAACAGGAAGAGAGGGAGCAAGGAGGGAATCTTCCCCACCCCCACCCCTCAGTCTGAGGAGACAGGGCTAAGCCCCCAGAGTTGGGGAACTAGAGTCCTCTTTCTGTTAGCAACACTCAAGAAACAACAAAATAGAAAAAAAAACAACAACAACAACAAAAAACAGGACAAGGATGCTCTGACCAACTCCCTCTCCTGGGAAACAGGAACTCCCCAGAAGACTTGGCACTCAAGTCAGCCCTCTTCCCAGCTGCTTCCCGGAAAGAACCCCCTCTGCTCCCAGAATATACACCTCCCTGAGAATCAGCTTCTACCTTTCACACTGGTTGGTTGGTTGGTTTGTTGGTTTGTTGGTTTGGGGATTTTTGTTTGTTTGTTTTGCTTTGTTGTTAATGTATTAAAGGAGGATGTAGTGAAGAGCTTTGGCTAAGAGTCAGAAGACCTGGGCTCAAGTCCTAGCTCCACCTCTTACAGTCACGTCTTTCCAGGCTTTGGCTTCATCGTCGATAAAATGGGACCATAACACCTGACCTAGGTCTCATGGTTGTTTTGAAGTCCAAAGGTATTAGTCCATTTTAAAATCTTTAAGAAACTCTTAGAAATTAAGGATGAGTATGATCAGCCCTGTCCCTGCTTCACACAGTCAGTCCTTGGGCAGCACTGCTAACAGAGAAGCAGTTCCTTTGGGTCCTGTGGACAAGTCTGTGGACTTCAAAGGTCTTAGAAACTCACTTTAATTCCACTGAGTTCAGAAAACTCTCTAGGGATATAAGTTATGTAACTTCTTAAGGCTGCAGTTTTCTCATCTATTAAGTGAAGCTAACAATAGTACCTATCTCATAAAGGTGTGTGGTCATTAAGTAAGCAAATACAGGAAAGTCACATTTACTGAGACCACTGCAAGTGCTCCTTAACTGTTAGTGTATGATGTGCCAAATGCAGTGTTTCTTCAAAAATGAAGAAATCAGAGCTGATGCCTACATGAACCTTATAAGAGGGGTAAGACAAGGTACTAATAATTCCACCTCAAGTCCACAGGGCCGGGACTGAAAGAGGCACTCCAAATACAAATAACAGCATGGAAGCAGGAAAATTCAGGGCATGTCTAGAGAATAGCAATAGCAAGTTATCTTAAAGACCATAGACATGGATTGACGAGAGAGGGGAAGAGCAATTTCTATGCCTCTGCCTTAACTCTCTCTGCCTTCCTAGATCCGACCAGTGTTTTGGTTTCATCCACATACATTTGTGAATCTTTGTTCTCAGTGATGAATTTTGTTAAGTCTCGTAATAGGAGTAGCCTGACGGATGAAAGTAGTAGCTCGTGCATATCTCTGAAGGTCATGAAATATAAACCTGATGTAAAATCTCTGTCATCAGTGATGCAGCAGCAAAAGTCCTGCTGATAATATCAAACGGAGTCATAAAGTTTTCTGTCGGACTATCAGTGTACATGTATACATTAAAAAATAAATGTATTTTTCATCATCATATTCTGTTTTTGTCGCTCGAATGAATTTTATTATTTCTTCAAGGTTCTTCACATATGTACACCTTAAGAGATATCAAGTAGGTGTAACATGTTCTCAAAAAATTAGGGTTGGCACGCAGAAGAATTTTGAATCAGAGATTTTGCTGGTTTTGGCACGCACTCACAAAAAGGTTGCCCACCCCTGGCCTAGGCAATGTCTTTATTCATTTAACAAATGTTTACTGAACATCCACTAAGTATGGGGAGCTATGCCAGACTTCCAGGAGATGCACTAGAGAGGCAGATGTGGCTAGATCTTGGCGGATAGGTGGGGTGTGTATGGGGCATAGTATCTTCTGACCATGGGCCAGCCCCTTGAAGGGGAACTCTCCAGTAATAACTCTAACTTTTCTGGTCTTTTTGCTTCTTTTTCCTTAAAGAGAAATGGAAATAGAGGAAAAAAAACAAGGGTTCTGATTAAGAGTCCTAATTAACCAGGCTTTACTATAAATAACCAATACTGTTTAAGTTTCAAGTTTTGATTAATGAAACACAATGTGTCTGTTCCTGTCCATTTGGATGAGAAATTACAGAGAAGCGGAGAGGCACCAGATAACTTCAAGCAATACACATCTTCCTAATGTTGAAAGGATGACAAAACTTGGATGGTGCGTTCCCATGAAAGGACTTGCTCTAGGAGCAGAGTTGGGTCTTTTCAGGAAAGCAGGCCTGGAAAAAGTTGAGAGCTTTACCTAATACGGAGTAGCTAACGTTGTGCTATGCATTTCACATGTACTATATCACTTCTCCCAAAAGCCCTGGTGAAGTGAAATCACTACCCCCATTTTACAGATGGAGAAATGGAAGCTCAAAAAGTTATTTAGTCATGTGCTTAGAATCACACAGTATAAATGGTCGATCCAGGTTTTGAAACCAAGG